TGACGCCGTACACGCGGTAAAACGCTCACCCGCTGAATGCACTGCTCCTTCGATTAAATTGAATGTGGGCGATATGATCCGGCTGGAGGTTGGAGGGGTGAAATATGCCCAGCAATCTGCTCCCTTTCCCGAGGAATTAAGTGGAGTATTTAGTGATTGCGACATGGATAGCGACACATCAGTTGTGGCCTGTGAGAAGTACACTCACGCAGTGGTGAAGAATTGGAACGTGCATCTCAAAGGGGTTTCTGAAGCGGATGCCGTGAAAGAATTGTTGGGATTATGGATGGAACTTCGGCACATGATGAATTCAATTCAAAGGCGGAATGTAGTGAACTGCACTTTGCTACGAGGTGGGCATTATAATTTGGACCGGACCGGTCCGTGGTTTTTTGACTCTCCAGGCGAAATGGTTTTGGTGGAAGACTGCACCTTTTTTTCCTGCACCTCAGGAATGCACATGGTGGTCTGCAGCGGGACCCATGTGTGCTTTCGCCGATGCCACTTTTCTTCTTTTTTTCAGCATGCCATCACTGTTGAGGACGAATGTGCTTCGTTTGTGTGCGACAACTGCATTGGAGAGGATTTCGGCGGCGAGTCAAACGCGACCGGCGCTCAGGCGGAGGTGAAGAAGAAAGCGGTGCAAAAATTTTTATTCTTTTTTCATCGCGGTGCTGTATGCTTAACACTGCGCGATGAGTGCAGACTCACCCTGAATCTCTCAACGGTGGATCTGCGTTTTTTCACATGCTTCAAGAGAACCGTCTCTCATCTGCGCTTGCAACGAGGACGGCTTGAATTTATGGGAAAGGGTGCCCTACACGGTCTGGTTTCTCGTATGGATTTAGAATTGGATTGGACGCTGAGGCACAGGGATGACTACGCAACACTGAGCTCGTCCTTGCGAGTAGGGAGTGTGAGTGTACCCGTTTTGTTGTTTGGCACAATGCGTTGCCTGAGAGGAGTGTGGAACGCCGAAGTACCCTTTTCCGAGGCTTCAGTGCGAGAGTACCCATCGCCTGTGAAAACACGCGGCTTTTCAGTTGCCAGGTGGAAGGCACTTGTGAGAGTGTCCATCATTCCTGTTGAATTGTGTCCACCGAGTGGTGGGGCGCCATTGATAAGCTTTATCCTTGATAGCACTTCTGTTGTGTCAAGGCGGGAAACAACAGGGGAGGCTTTCCTGGAGGCTCGATCAGGGATACAGCAGCTCTCTCTCTCTGGGAATTTTCTTCGCAATCGCATGTTTCACTTTTACGGAATCTGCTCTCTGTGCTGGTGGTTGCTCGCACGGAGGATTTTTCTAGTGCGTCATGTGACGTGTCTGTCTCCCCATGTGAGCTTTCTCTCTCCGGCGAGCAAATCAAGTGCGTTTTGTCCCTCTTGACATTTATGCAGGGATATGGCGACGCTGAGACGGTGCCGTGTGCAGTGAGGCTGGAGAACTACCTGGGTGCAGAAGTGACGTTGCAGGATGCGACGGAACAATTTGTTTTTGGCGAGGGTCACACCCTTGAAAAGAGAACATTGTCTTTCCCGGATTGTCTTCAGCTGATTGATGGAAAACGCGTGGATCATTTCGAAAAGGGCGAGATATCATTTTCCGACAATAAACATGTCGCTCTTCTTCATGCCGAAAAGGTGGCTGTTCTTGAAAATGGCGAGCACATTCATATCTCCACAAGTTTGCAGCCCGGTACCCTCGCACAAAATGTGACGTTTCGAACAGTTTTTCACGTCAAGAATTACTTATCCCATAATATATCGTTTTGTTCAATGCGTCAAGGGAGTGAGGTTGCCATGATCCGCCCAGGGGAGCTCTCTTGCATTCCTCTTAGTTGCCTTGACTCCACAGACGTCGTCACACGTTTGGCGTCGATTGAAGACAATAATGAGTCACGTGATGAGCTGCTCTGGGAGGAATCACCGCGTAAACTTCTTGAAGTGGCACTTTCACTTGGCGAAGACTCCATTGGGCGTCTCAAGGAGTTTTCGTTTGCAGAATCTTCGGCGTATGTTGATGTAAAGTATCATTTAAAGGGTTGTTTGCTTACCATGCTTTTTGCCCCAGCTCGACCAGGCATTCATAACGGCACGCGATTCCCTATAAGAGTGCTTCTGTACATCCGTGACGATTTTGTTGAAGAGGCAGTTGTGGATCCCGACAATACGTTTGTGACACTCCGGCACGATCCGTTTGGTACTCCCGTGGCTTATCTTTTTGAATGCATCGTCTATGACAAGCGATACGTTGCCAATGAACAAGTTGATTTAAACGCGATTGACCCCGCGGAGGGAGAGTGTATTGCGATGAAACACGAGGAGTTTCCTCGACGTTACTTTTTTGAGTTAAACATCGAAAGCAGACAACTGAATGCATTGGATGGCGTTGCTCCGGTCTACAGTGTGGTGCCACGGTATATATTTGGAGTGGAGAATAATTCGCAGATGGATGTTGAATTTGTATCTGAGGCAGGGGACTCCATTGGCACACTGGGTGGAGGGGTTCCTTCATGTTCTTATGGAAAAAACTTTGCCTATCTCCCGCTCCATGCATCACTTGCATTGCGTGTAGAGGAAGTAACATCATCGACGTTTGAGGTGAATGAGGGTCTGGAAGAGCAAATGCTCCCCTGCAGTGCCCCCGAAAAGAGAGAGGCACCGTGTGGTTCTCACCGTTTCCTCCTTCGCGCAAAGGCTGACGCGACAGAGAAGACGATGGAGTTGGTTCCGGCGCTGTTTATTGTCAACATGGATCCCACCCGTAGCCTGTTTGTGCAGCACACCATTGGCTCCAAGGATACGCTCAGGAGCGAGGTGCAATGGGTTAATCGTGTAGTTTTGCCGGCTGCGGGTGTGCTTCCCCACACATTTATTTCGTGCTACGGGTATGTGGACCTGTTTACATTTTCTTGGGAGGAAAATGGCGAGGCGTCTTCTTACTCGGCCCCGGTCGAGGCGGTATTTTCTTCAAAAACAGATTGGAGCGGCTTTGTGCAGTGTGGGCGGACGCAACACATGGTTCAAATGCATAAAAAGGGCTTTGGTGATCCCGCCATGCTGGTGGTAAGTGGGCCCTGCAACAGGCCGCACCTGACACTCGTGAATTTCACGTCTTACGCCTACCGTGAGGTTGGCCCCATGGGGGTGTCGTCTCCTTCTATTTTGTCGCTGGCAAGTAATGATTTGCTGCAGCTGTCCGGAGGGGACAAGGAGCACGTGTTGCGGTTGACTCACAACACCTCGACCGCTTTGGATGACGAGGTGATGGCATTTGTTCGACATCAGCAGGACGCTGTCACGGTCGTGTTGTCTCTGGTTCCACTGAATACAACTGTGTTGCTAAAAGACAACACATGTTGCACCATCAGCCCTCAAATGAAGGAGGAGACTGAAGACGGTTCAACTGGAACGAAAACTGCGGTTCGTCTGGATGTCAAGGTCTCTTACTTATCCTTTATGATTCGTGATGACGAGGAGAGCTCGGTTCTCCTCACAGTGGAAAGTAGTGAGTTCTGGATGGTCCAACACTCCATGAAGTTAACGGCGCAGTACACAATGTCAAATGCGTCCATTCAGAGCACATATAAATCAAAAAATTGCCATGTGCTTAAACCGTTCTGTTTTGACATGACGGTGCGTGATGTGGAATTGTTGATCAATGCAATCTCCGCATGCTCGGCTCAGGTGAATGCAACACGGCTAGAGTTGGAATTATCCGATATCCTTTTGTATCAGTTTTACCAGCTGGCAGCACACCGTCAAGACAATTCATGGAAGACAATGAAGAAGAAAGGAAGTAAGGGTGGTGACGCAAGTCCAGCAATCGCCGTGCCATTCATTTCTCCATTTTCAAGGAACCGACGCATTGAAATCAATTCTGTGGTCATATGTGAGATCTGCGTCATTCTAACTTATGACAGGAGGGTGCGGCCTCCTGAAGATGTTCTTTTTCGTGGTTCGCCAATTGGGACGTTCATTCCATCCCTGCGCCGCGCCACAATAAGGCTGCCTACTGTGCGTTTTCGCGACGTCTCCAGAAAAACGCTTATGGAGGTATGCAATACGGTGCAGGAGGTGCTGTTTTTTGAATTTCTGAAGCAAATTCCTAGTTTTATTTCAAGTGTTTTCCTCCTCCCGACGCTTTCTCCACTCGGCAATATTTTGACGCGTGTCGGGTCATTTATCTTTGGCTCTGGCGGCGCTTCTTCAGAGTTGCCGGGCGCGGCACTCATTTGACGGAAAAGAAGAGGCGAGGAGAATGAAAATCAAAGGCACCGATGAATACTATATTCCTCTCTCCACACACAAACATATCTCACTTACTCATGAGAGCGGGTCGGAGATGAGGCGTCATTTCCACACAGAGTTTACGTCTCTGAGAAATTTGAACTGACATATCATGGAGCATTGGGAAATGCGGCGTTGCCTAATATTGCGTTTTTTTTTTCCTTTTTATCCTCTACTCTTTGGCACAAGAAACTCAACGCCGCTGATTATTCTTAGCGAATGTGGCTGAGACAGACACGTGGCGAACATCTTTTGTCGCCATTGACGATCTGTTCTGCGCCTGGCTGCCACAGCGAATTGTAGACGTTTACCCCGTACAATACCGCGAGATGATTCCTGCCGTCCGCCATGGCCCGCCGCAGTCGTGCCAATTGGCTCTAAATTTACCCACTGGCTCTGCAGTGGGGTGTGCCGAGCGTGCCTCTGATGACGCGCTGTTTCTGAGCCGTTTGATTGCCGCGTGGGGATACCGACTTGTGCCGCGCGCTTTCCAGACCAACGGGGCCGCAGCTTTTCATTGGGCGGGCGAAGCGCCGGGTCCCGTGTGGCGCCAAGCCTAAATGCCACTGATGTGTCTGAATTGTGTCGCTGGCGATGCTCATCACGATTGCCATTGCGCCTCATCATTGCAACAGGCGACCACCCGAAAGGAATACTTGCCAGGAATGAATTGTAAACGAAGAGCGAAAGCAAGAGGGCAAGAAACTGCGGGACACACTGGGGAATTTGGAGTCCCGCGACTGTCATCAAAGTAAAGCGGGCGCGTGGTATGCGAAAACTTGTGCTCGGGAGCGTACGGCGGGTCATGACGCTTGAGAATGGGAATCGCCTTGATGGGCCCGGCTGCCCCCCGCATATTTCACAGGCCCGCCCCACGGAAATGAGACATGCGAGGGCAAGCGAGGGAACACATAAGAATGCTCTTTTTTTGGGTTCAGTGTTTTTTTGTGCTCCATCTCTTTTTTGCTCTTGCGTTTGTCACACGCACGCCAAACGCGTTTTTTTGGAATGTTTGGCGCGAAATGTGCTGAAGTGTGGATGACGTTTAGTCCGAGAAATCTGCTGCCCAACAATATTTCCATTGCTTTTCGGAGGTATCAGCGGATTGAACCTCAATATCGCTTGCTTGGTTGATTAGGATTCTTTGCGTGTTACGTGCACGCCACTGCTGCTGTTGCTCGTGATCATTTCTTCTTGGCGAATGGGCGGAGGGCGTTGGAGGCGCAAGCATCGCGTGTGATGGGCGATGTGCCTTTGACGAGGGATGCGCTTCTTCACCACGAATGGTTTTACTTCCAGAAACGATCTGCATCACGGAGCAGAGGGTGTTGGAAGGTTTTGCAAGGGTGTTTGAGGACATCACGGACGGATTGCCTTGGTATGTTTGTGGGTTGTTCATCATGATGGCGCTTGTGAATTCACAAAGGCGGACCGCGCAAACTGGACTTGTCGGCCGCGACGATAACTCGGCGTGAGAAGGGATTACCGGAATATTGGGAGCGATTTGCTGCATGTTGTTCTTTCTGGCCTGTTGGCTAGTTTCTCAGCGTCCTGTACTGGGTGGAGAAGACGGTTTCTGTACTTGCAGCTAACTCCTTAATTCCCATCCTGAAATGGAAGCACGACGTTGTGTGGTGCCATGATAGGAACCATCGTTACGTTGGGCCCCTTTTGTATTTTATGATCCGCTGGGGCTGCTGAATGGAATAAAGCCATTTCCACACCGCCCTTGCTTTATTTATTGGTGTGTTATTGTGAGTGAATCTCAAGTGCAGTGTGCTTGGTGCCCTTTCTCCCTGCGGAGAAAGACTCGGTAGAACTTGTGCTCGACTGTTGCCTTCAATTCATTTTTTTTTTTTTTTGGTACTTCAGTGCTCTGAAATCGTGACACAAATTTTTATTTCATGAGGTGTTTATTAGAGAGTGCAGGAGCCGCAGTGTATGCTGTTTTCTTGTGGATGGGTACTGTTTCTGTGCGATTATCCGTCTACAACGCCAAAGGCATGCTTTAACAGATGATTTTCCTTATGTGGCTGTTTTCATTCTTGCTTGCCGTGGCCGATCGAGTGATGAAAGTTTAACCAGTGCGGCGGGGTTTCATGAAGGATTCATGACGAAAATGGATTTGACACAGAGGAATGTTTTGTTTGGACAAGTTCAATTCGTACATGGCCGTTTTCTATGAAGACTTTAAAAAAAGGTCCATGCTGGAGTGGACTTTTCATTACGGGCTTTATGATTGTATTGGTGGTGCATGTTTCTGAGCTGGCTCTTAATACCCTGTTGAAGGATTATCGGGTGCGGGTATTCCTTTTGAACATCGGGGTGCATTTGTGAATGACGGTCTTTTATTGAAGCGACACAAGGGCGCAGAGCAGGTGTCGGTGTCATATAAAAGGGTTTTTCAGGACTTTGTTTGAGCATTTTATTTGTGTGGGTGACAAAAAGAGAAGACAGAAATACATAGGCAAGGAGGTGGGGCTTCATCACGAAACAGACGGAACGGAAGGAATTTGTCAACGCATCGCGCTGCTTTTTTATTTTATCGTTTGTGGATTGGCTTTGTTTATGTGGAAGAGGGTACGTGCGAGCGGCAACTGCGCACCAGTGTGGATGTGATGGTGGTGAGGGAAACGGCATTTCTTTCCGGGATCACGGGTGAAAACGTGCCTTCGCGGTGCTGTGGGCATGTATGACTGCCGAGGGGGAACGGATGAAATGAGTTTGGGTGCACACATTCGTAGGGAAAGACTGCCATGCTTTTTTTTTTGCGGGCGTTTATCCGTTGTTGTTTCCCTTTGATTAGGAGGGCGAAAACGCTCTGCAACAACAATTTTCATTCATGCGAGGATTCATTCCCAATGGTGCTGATGGGAAATTAATGCGGCCAGACGATAACAATCGAGAGGACCGTGAGTGTGGTGCGAGCACCCGAAGGGGAGACGACATGAACGGAGGTGGGCGGACGGCAGTATCGGAAGAGTTGACTGAAGAGGGTACGTAAAATAAAGGGAGATAAAATGAGGTTGGCGGTGCTGCTGTTCGATGTGCGAGGGAGGAAGAAACACAAGTGATTTCTGACATGTTGGTGAGTGTGCCACGGCCACCGATGAGTTCTCAGGGAGAGGGAAAGGAGGGAAGGAGACGGAGACTGTGCGCACCGACTGCGGCGTGTGGTGCCACAGGATACGGTTGCCATTGTGAGGGTGCGACGGCCGTCATGCGTGCAGCAGAGCGTCATCTGCAACTTTTTGCCTGCAGAGCCTGCAGGTGCTGCGAGGAGGTGCAGGCGACCTCTCGTTATTGGGCTGCTGAGGCTGTTTTCCCTCTCTGCTCAGCGGGAGGAGCAACTCTTCCCTCACGTGACGTGCTGTTCTGCATCGATACTCTCCACGGGGCATCACGCCGCCGTGCCGTTGCAGTGCAACTCTCGCGCTCCTCACTGCACACGTGGCTCCCCGTCGCTTGCCTTATTTGCAGGGCCATCGCCTGTGGTCCCCATTGGGAGGCTTCTCACTTTTTTCCCTAATTTTTGTGTGCTGTTGAGAGATGCTGGAGAATAATGGCTGCGGGGATGGTGATGTTGTGTTTCGCTGTGAGTGGTGGCGGTGTGTACTGCTGTTGTGCTGCCTTTCTGCTTCTGTTCTCTGTTGCTCCTTATGAAGAAGGAAGTTACTACCAAACGCGAATCGCCACTCTGGAATTCGAAGGCTCTGAAAGGACCAACAACCGCACACACACATATATTTATATGCTCTCACGTGTTGCTGCGGTGAAGGCACCCCGCACACACAACCGTCGCCGCGTGACCGGATCCAGCGGAAGGAGGAGGGAAGGAAGAGAGAGTGAGCCGCGGAGGCCCAACATGTCCCGGCGTGTGTTTGCTTCAGCGGTGCTGCTCCTCCTCGTCGTGTTGATTTGCTGCGGTACTTGTGGAGCTGCGGCCACTGAGAAACCAAATTCAGGCAAGAATGATTTAATAAATATTCAGAATTTGCAACGGGTCGATCTATTTGTGCCGCAGACGACGCTGGTGCTGCCGAAGATGGGGACTGACTCAGGTCGGAGGGATTCATTTGTTTCACCCTCTCTCGTCAGTGCTGGTGGAGTAATTGCTGCTTTTGCCGAGGGTCACATGAATGCCAAAACCCCCCCTACCGAATCAACTAAGCCGTCTTCTGATGTTGTTGCGGAGTACATCGACTCTGCGTGGGAATGGTCCACTCTTGTTGAAAAGGTGAGTGAAAGTACATGGAAGGCACACACCGTGCTTGGTACAACGGATGGAACGGATAATCGTGTAGGTGTTGTGCTCCGCCCCACAACAACCATGAAGGACAATAAGGTGTTTCTTCTTGCGGGAAGCACTGATGCGCACAAAGAAGGTCTGGAGTGGAAAGTGGACAACCAGGATCTGAAACTGGTTGTGGGTGATGTCACGCCGTCTACGCGCGGCGAGCCGGGTGGACGGATCGAATGGGGTGACCCAAGACCGCTGTTCGATTCGAAATATTCATTGAATCACAAAAATAGATTGAATACCTTTTTTCCTTCTGGTGGCGCAGGTGTTCTGATGGAGAATGGCACGCTTGTGTTTTCTCTGATGGCGAAGAGTGAAGAAAATGATGGCGTTTACTCCATGATCATTTATTCGACGAACAACGGCAGTACCTGGTCGCTATCGGAGGGTGTTTCTTCTGCGGGCTGCCGTTATCCCCGCATCACCGAGTGGGAGGGATCACTTCTCATGATTGTTGACTGCAATGATGAACAGAAGGTGTACGAGTCGCGTGACATGGGGACAACGTGGACGGAGGCCATCGGGACACTTCCAGGCGTGTGGGTCAACTCACGATCAAGAGTCTCTCAGGATGTAAGCCTGCGTGTGGATGCCCTCATCACTGCGACCATTGAGGGAAGGAAGGTCATGCTGTACACACAGAGAGGGTACTTCTCGGGGGGGAATAAGGCAACTGCGCTCTACCTTTGGGTGACGGACAACAACCGTACGTTTTCTGTTGGGCCGGTTGCCGTGGAGGATAATATGAATTGGATGCTCGCCAGCACCCTGCTGTACTCGGATGGGAGGTTGCATCTTTTACAACAGAGGGACAACGATAAAGGCGGTGTCATCTCACTTTCCCGCCTGACGGAGGAAGTGAGTACAATCAGGTCCGTCCTCAGTACTTGGGCGCAAAAGGACATTTTCTTCTCCAACTTGTCTATACCCACGGCGGGTCTGGTGGCAGTTTTGTCCGATGCGGCCGGTGATGGGAGATGGTACGACGAGTACCTTTGCCTGAATGCGACGGTGACGAACGCCACGAAGGTCAAGGATGGGTTTCAGTTGACGGAGCCTGACTCCGGGGTAATATGGCCTGTGAACACTCAGGATGATAATGTGCGCCATGTGTTTTTGAGCCACTACTTCACACTTGTGGCGTCGGTGACCATCGAAGAGGCTCCGACTGCGGACGCTCCTCTACTGACTGCGGTGTTGCGTGACGCTGGGCCCCCGTATCTCATGAGACTTTCGTACACCGCGGATAACAAGTGGGAGACGATTGTCGAAGGCAAGATGACAAAACCAACAACGGAAAGCAGGCTTTGGGTGCCGAAGGAAGAATACCAAGTGGCCCTCATGCTGCAAGGCAACAAGGCCTCTGTGTACATTGATGGTGAGTCGCTGGGGGAGGAAGAAGCTCTGTCAACAGATGAGAGACCAATTGATGTCGCAGGCTTTTGCTTTGGCGCGTGCGAAATGCACAACTCTCCTGTGACGGTGAAGAACGTCTTCTTGTACAACCGCCCACTGAATTCCACTGAGATGACTGCAATCAAGGACAGGATCCCCGTTCCAAAGAGAGCTCCGGAATCGCAGGCGGATGATGTTCCTCAAACCGTCGCATCTGCTGGATCTGCGGCGCCTGGCCCACGGGAAGTACCAGCAGCACCGGGGAGGACAACTATGGAGAGAGCTACCACCACAGAACATGCGGCTGCGGTAAGCTTTACCTCTGCTGGGAGCGGACTGCTGCCGCTGCTTCTTCTGTTGGGGCTGTGGGTGTTCGCGGCTCTGTGAGGAGTGTGCGGCCTCAGTGTGGAGCACTTGTGCCGTTCCCTGCACCGACATACACACACCGCTGGGAATAAATTTAACTACGCAGAGAATAATTTGTTTTTGTTTTCTTTTAATGTTTTCCACTTTTCCCTTGCTGCTTTAGGGCAACCATTGTAAGCGTTTTTTTTTTCGGCTTTTAATTGTTTTTTTTTTCTGTTCGTAGTACAATTTTTTATGTTTTTTTATGTTTGTTTTTAATTATTTTTGTTTGCTTAAAAAAAAAAAAAATATGTCTGTTTTTTCTTTTTTGCTTCACTCTTCCCTTCGTTTTTGCTTTTGGGGGAAATCACTATGGAAGTTTTTTTTCTTTTCTACTCTTCCCTCTTTAATTGTTTGTTGCTGTACTCTTCCTGCGAGGGGTGCCGTGTGTTTCCCGCCCAACTGCTCCACTCGCACACCCACCGACACGCTCATGACGACGGCCCTGTGCGCCTCGCCTGCTGCACGCATGAGGAGGGGCCGCGACGAGGGCCTGTGGGGCGGAGCACACATTTCTTCCCTCCTGTTTTGTTTTGTTTTGCGGCCAGGGCGGGCAGACACCCGCAGCGCCACACCCTGCCGTTTTTAGGGATTTTTTTAGTATATTGCTTTTTGTGTGCATTTCTCGTGCTGGCAGTCCCGTCAGCATTTTTCTCCCCCTGATGATTTTTTTTCTTTTGCTGCGCTCACTCTCCTGATGGAGAGACGCGACTCCCGTCGTGTCTGCGTGCTTCTCTCAGTCCACACACACACGAGTGACTGTGCTCTGCGGGCCGCACTCACACGCCGGTGAGAGTGCTGAGGGGAGCAGCAACACGCAGACGACCCCATGAAATATAAACGATGTGCGGACACACGGAGGGTCGGACGGCTGAACGACATTTAAATATCTTTTAACTTTATTTTAGGACAAAATATATGCAGACAATTTCTGGAGCAACATGGTGGTTGGGTGCTTTTTTTTCTTTTTTTCATTTTTTTTCATTTTTTTTCTAAAGTGTGAGGTGTGGAATGGTGAAGATGATCTTTTTAAAATTTTAATAATTTTTATGAATTGCCGCTGCTTGGTCCGCAGTGCAATATCATGAGCTTGAGCAGTCCTGTTATTTCTGCCATGCACTTCTGCTGTACAGTTTTTTTTGTCTCTTTAAATGCTCCGCTCTTCTTTTTTACTTCTTTGCCTCGTGTGTCTGCCTGCAGGCACACACACACAGACACACAAAATGCAGATTTCAGTGGATTTGGATGCTACTTTTGTAGTGCGTGCGGGTGGCTGGCGCCTCCTTCTGTGGGCATGAAGCGGGGGGAGGAGAGAGGGAGAGCACGGCGAGTCACTTTTGCTGTTGGTGTGATGCACCACCTGTGACCGCCTTGAGTCGGGCATCAAATTCCATTGTGGGTGGAATGGCTGGAAATGTTGTTGCCGCGTCATGGATGGATGCGGAATCGCTTCTGCGAGTGGCTCTTTTGGTGATTGCTTGCTCGGTGTGCATTGGCTGCGGGGCTGTGGTCGTATGCCGTTGGTCGTGGGATTGAACTGGAGGCGGTGGCGGTGTGTCTCTTCTCGTCCATTGTTGGGTGACTGTTGGCGGTGTGTGCGTTTGTTGTGTGGAGGGCCGAATCCTCTCACACACGGACTGGCAGCACTGCGATGGTGTGTGTGTGTGAGGGCTGGTGTGGAGTTGCCGGCCAGGATGAGGACCGTGGCGGTGCCTTTCCCGTCTGCCGTTTGTTTCTTCCGTGTGTTATGCTGCCTTTTGCTTTTTTCCTCTGTCATCCTCTTCTGTGTTCCTGCGTGGAGTGGCCGCATGCTCACGGGCCATGTTGATTGTGAGTGCCTCCTGACGGCATCCATCTCCCTCTCTCTCTCTCTCCGCCTCTCTGTCTGTCATTCCCTGTTGGGTGTGGCGTGTTGCACCGCGTGAGGGCTGGCCCGCACACACCGACGGCCCGCCGTGACTTGCCGTGTTGCTGCTCTTTTCTTTGGGCGATGGTCCTCCGTGCTGTCCCTTCCGGATTGTCTCGTGCCCCGCTCTCTGCGTGGGTGCTCTGCTCTGCTCCTCACTGACCTTTCTGATGTGTTGCCGCTGTTGCTGTACTCTCCACTTGTTGAACACAGACACGCTAGGAAGGAAAGAAAACAAACGCTAAACGCTACTGTGAAATTGTAAGGCTCTGAAAGGACCAACACCGCCCACCCACACATATTTATATGCTCTCACGTGTTGCTGCTGTGAAGGCACCCCGCACACACAACCGTCGCCGTGTGACCGGATCCAGCGGAAGGAGGAGGGAAGGAAGAGAAAGTGAGCCGCGGAGACCCAACATGTCCCGGTGTGTGTTTGATTCCACGGTGCTGCTCATATTTGTCGTGTTTATGTGTTGCAGTGGTGGAGCTGCGGCCGCATCGACGGGGGAGAATCAATTGATTGCGCGGCTGCCGTGGGTGGCTTTTATTTTTTTCCGGGACGAACGCATTTGGAATCGAAAGGTGGGACTGGTGCAAGTGGAAGGAGGGATTCGCTTGGATCGCTCGCTCTTGTGGGTGTTGGTAGACTGACGGTTGTCTTTGATGGGGATTACACGACGCTTAATGATAGCGATGGGGCACCGAGTGAGCTTTCTCATGCGGATATTTTGGCGGGTTCCATCTTTTTTGCGTGGAATTTGTCGTCTTTTTTTGGTGAGTTTAATAATGGCCGGAATACACACATCGTGTTGAGCACAGCGAATATAAAGGGTGTTGTAGACTCCGCGTCCAATCCCACGGCAATTGAGAGCGGCAATAGGGCGTTTCTTCGTGCGGGAAGTTAGCAAAAGTTTGGTACGAATGGTGAGTTCAATTGGGCGTTGAGAGACCGTGATGTTCAACTGGTTGTGGGTGAATTCACGCAGCCCAATGACGGCAGACGGAGAGAGCTGATCCACTGGTGTGAACCCAAATTGCTGTGATCACAGATCATTCCCGAGACCCACGAACGCGGTGCGAATGGATTGAAGGTTTTTTGTGGCTCAGGTGTTTTGAATGGCACGCTTGTGTCCCCGTGATTGCGTATAATGACGAAAAAGACGATTTCTCCATGATCATCTGTTCGACGGACGGCGGCAGAAGCTGAGTGCTTTCAAGGGGCATTTTTCCTGCGGACTGCATTGACCTTCTCATTGCCGAGTGGGAGCAGGGACAACTTCTCGTGATTACTCATTGCTATGGGAGCCGGTACTGCAGAGTGCACGAGTCACGTGACAAGGGGGCAATGTGGGTGGAGGTACCCGGGGCAATTGCAGGCGTTTGGACCAATTCACAATCGGGTCGTTGGAAAAAGAGCTTGCGTGTGGGAGCCATTGTCACTGCGACCGTTGGAGGAAGGAGCGTCATGCTGTAGGCTCGGAAGTGAGCTCCCCGTGGTGGGAGAGTGAGGCCCATGCGCTCTACGTTTGGGTGACTGACAGCAACCGCGTGTTTTGTGTTGGACCGGCTTTCGTGGACGCTGCTCTGAATAAGCCGATTGCCAACGCCCTGCTGTACTCGGATGGTGTGTTGCACCTTGTGGGAGCGAGGCACAATGAAGAGAAAGGCAGCCTGTTTCCTGCCCCCCTGACGGAGGAGCTGCGGATGATCACTTCCATCCCCCGTAATTGGGCGGACGTGGACGCTTCCTTCTTCGCGTCGCCCGTAAGTACGATGGGTCTGGTTGGATATCTTTCCAACGCAGGCACTGCCAACACATGGATCGACGAGTGCCGTTGCGTGATTGCAACGGTGACGAATGGCAAGAATGTCACAAATGGGCTTCAATTCGCAGGGCAACTTTGCCCCGTGAACCGTTGGGAGGATAATAATCACTGTGGCTTTGTGAATTACGAATTCTCTCTTGTGGCGACGGTGGCTATTTGCGAGACACACGCGGGCGTCAAGAGTATCCCTTTGATTGGCGCGAAGGAAACAGGCCGCACTGCGCACTCTGGACTGTCGCACAGCCATGAAGGAGTTGGGGATGTTCAACGCAAACAAACACACCGGCTTTTGGGAGTTGAACAAACAATAACGAGTGGTGCTCACGCTGCAGGACCGCCAACGAGGCCTTCGTATAGATCAATGGTGAGTTTGTGTGGGATGCTGAAACGACATCATCGGGAAAGGGGCCACGCGCGAATTCACACTTTTACATTGGAGGGGATGGGAGCAGTGCAAGCGACACCGGGGGCCAAAACAAGTATGTGACAGTGACGAGTGTCTTTTTGTACAACCGCATATTGACCCGGGAAGAAGCCGCAAAAGTTGTTGCCAGCAGCCTTGCTCTTCCAGAGTCTCTTTCAGGGAAAATGCTTGAAGGGCCGGATGATCCAGCGGGAACTGGCAGTGGCTCCAAAGATGGAAACGCCTCTCAGCTCACGAACAACACTTTTTTGAAGAAGGGCTTTAGTGGCTACGGCACGGTGCGTGTGTGTGTGCCTCGGATCTTGTTGCTTCTCCTTCTGGGGCTCTGGGCATTGCAGCTCTCAGCTGTGTGAAACGGTGGGAGTGGAGCCGCGACTCCCCGCGGAAAAGGGTGTGCAGCTCCTCAGGAAGACTCAATGCACTCCGTTGAGGACTTTTTATTTATCCCTTTTGTTTTCAACTCTGGATATAATGTGCTGCTGGTGCCTTGTTGGAGGGATCAGAACCCCCGCCTTTTTACTATTTTTTTAATTTATTTTTGTATGCAGCTAGCTGCACACTTTCATGAGTGACGTGTTTCCCCCTGTTTTATTTGCTTTTGTTGCACCGCACGCGGTGCCGGCCTCATTGCTGTGCAGTCCCGCGGACTGTACAAAACGAGGGGTGGAGGAAGAGGCCGAGTGCCTCATGAAATGTGAGGGATTTCGTGTGGACACGTGGAACACTGCGATCTTTTTTTTCTCCTCTGTAAGAAACATATGGAGATGCACAATTCCTGCTGCACTGAGGAATGTACGAAATGAAGGTCCACTGAGGTGATTTA